GCCGGAGACCAGGACGTTGCGAACCAGGGCGCTGCCAAATCCACCTGGAGGGAACGAACAATGGGAGATCTCTCGACCCGCGGCTGCACTTCTCTCAGGTGCGCCAATGTCCTGGTTTATCAAAGTCCCGTTTGAAAGGGCCCTGAGGGGGGTTCGGTTAATCCACCAAGGCACTGCCAAATCCACAGGGGCGAGGGGGGTTCGGTCCTCCTTGAAGGCGCGAGTCAAGCTCACCACTTGCTGGGCGGGTGCCACTCGCATGGGAAGAACTGGCCGATGAGGACGGGGGGAGGAGAAGGAGGATCTACGATCGAGGGCCGAGGTGTTTTTACGTCTTCTGCTCTTCTTGGGCGTCCTCTTTTGTACCACCCACCCTAGCGCGCCCCGTGCCCGACGTGGCCCGCCAGCTCCGCACAGACGCGCCTGCGATCGCCGGCGCTGCCGAGGAAAGACGTTCTACTGGGGCCCTTGGAGGCCTCCGCGGGCATCCGGGGGAACTCTGGGGGCCCCCAGAGACCTCTATAGTCGAAAAGTTTTCGGCTTTCCCTGTTTTTCTCCCTGCCCCACTGCTTTTCGGTCTTCCCTTTCCCCACTCGGGGCTCTTCGCCCTGGCTCCTCTTTGCTCCCCCGTTTCGGCCCCTCTATCCTCTCTCGCAGTGCTCCGTGCTCCGTCTTCCTGGCTGCTCGTGCTCGTGCTCTTGGCTTCTCCCTGAGCCGCACCCGTGGATTCTCCGCGGAAGGAGAACATCATTCTGACAACGCGCCACAAGAAAGAGTCGAAGTCCAACGTGCCAAAGTCTCTGTACCTCGAGAAGGGCATCAAGAAGGCGCGGGGATTAGGGGACAGGGGTGGCTATTTGAGGAGGGGCCAGGGGGAAGCAGGAGCGACGAAGGCCTCGTGATCTCTTACCTTCGTGCAGCGTGCATAAGTTCTGTTTACCTCAGCTGCATCGTTTACACGACTCGCCTGGTCGTTCCGTTTTATGCTGTTGTTTGTTTCTGTGTTTGTTGTTTTGTATGTGTGTGTACCTTGGATTCCATGTTTCGTGTTTTGATGTGGCTCATTGCTTGGTGCATCGCCCACGTGCAAGATTTGTTTCTGCTCGCTTCTGCTTGACGAAGCGTCCATGGTATAGATTCGGGTGCTTGTTCTTGGCGTCTACGCCAGCGGGCCACTGCTTGCAACTGCTTGAGTTCAGTCGCTCCTCGATAATGCGTACACCTTAGGCGATGCTTAAGAAAACCCACATTTTCGGCCAGAGTCTCGATTATTCTTTATGTTTCAATGTAAATCTTAAGATTTCAATAGACATGTTGGGTTTTTATTCAAGTTCTGAGACTATGAATTTCTTAACCCATGATTTCTTAAGCATCTCGCAGGGTGTACGATGAAGAAGAGGGGCTGGGCTCCCCAGAGCTGCACCGCAGAGTCAACTGTCTCGACCCCCTGGACCGAGGGCGCCAGCCATGCCCCTGCACCGATCCCGGCAGGGCCCATCCAGGGCTCACGATCTCTACGGGGGGGAGGCGCTGAAGTAGGAATCCTTTTCGTTTGGGAGGGGCTCAGTGTTCCTTAGTTGTTTTTTGGTCTGCCTTCCTTACGTTTTCTATGGGAAGTCGAAGGTGAACTGATGGAAAAACGGGGCCTCGTTCCTTATTTTGGGTCCCTTAGGTCAACGCCACGGCTGCACATTCCTTCCTGGTCAAGGTCGGGCCGTACACTTTCCTTTCGGGCCGGGATCCTGGGCCCAGAAAGAGCTTGGCCAGGCTCGGTGTATAGTTGGCGTCCCCCCCTTCGATCAAGCGTTCTTTCCATCCTGCGGAGCTCTCCAGCTCCAGGGGCACGCCTGGCAGCACTTTCTGCTTGCCAGCTCGCCGTTATGCATTTTTGCATTTTCAGGTTTTTTCTGTCGTGTTGCATTGCCTCGCTGTTGCTGTAAGCGCCGAGCTCACTCGCGGGGGCACAGAGAGAGAGAGAGAGAGAGACGTGCCTGGCGCGCCTCAGCCCGGGCCAGGCAGCTGCCCTCTCCTTCCGCGGGAGCGGCGGCACAGCGCGCAGTCGACGGTGCCTCGCGCCTCGCGCGAAGCGCGACGCGCGCAGCCGGGTGCTCTGGACGGAGGCCTGCTCCGCCCCTGTGTGCCAAGCCTCCTGCTACAGGGGGAATATTCCAGAATAGCCAAAAAATGGTCAGGGGACGATTTGTTTGACAATTTTTGTCCATTTTGGAGTATTTTTGGGGTACTTTTCATTTTTCGTAGAACAGCCCTCTGTAGGGGGACATGCCCGACCTAACGCTAGGTCTTTCATCCTCTCGCTGTGCAAGGTCTCGGCCACCCACGTTGATGGATCACATGTTCTGAGCGCGCTCGTTCCCCTCGCTAGCCCACCGTGCCCACTTCGGCCTCGTGCACCCCACGTCTGCCCCAGAGCGCGGCCAGGATCCTCGCCGCTGCGGCAGGAAAGTGTGCCAAGGCCTCGCAGGGTGGGCCCTCTCCCAAA